TATTCTATAAAACAAAACTAAGTCAATACACAATGTTCATGTGAGATACTTTTATTAAATGAGCATTGTCTCTGTGGTATATGTTTATTTTATAACAAAACCAAGCTCATAGATATAGTCAGATAAATTAATCGATTCGTTAAAAGAGGAGAATAATCGATAAATGTTAGTCTGATACCCAAACTCATCTCCATTTCTCCACGAACTCACGAACAACACAACATGCAACCAGCTACCAACAAATGGCAACAATACAATACTATAATCGAGAGTAGAGAATAATTTATTCATTAAAAGCGGGCGCCTTTACTTATCGAGCCACTTTTGTGTTTTGCTGTTGTTGTCATCGGAGGAGCCCAGACATGCAACGATGTTAGTCGGGTAATATATCACTTCGCCTCTTCGTTATCTTCAAATCTCTTTCCAAATCCATCTCTTTTAAATTTACACAAACTAACCTATTGTATTCGAGATTTATAATTTATTTAACACTTATTAACTTTCTTTTATGTATGTTTTTGTTTTTATGTGAGAAGAAACACAACATCATTATTTAATTACCTTATTATTATTTTTAATGTGAAATTTTTGTGGGTATCCACAACCAACCCGCAGCGGATAGTGGTTAACCACTACCCACTGCGGGGCGGGTTGTGGTAGCATAATTCTATATTTTTGGATGTGGTTACCCGCAAAATGTGGGGCCGGTAACCACACTCACCCCAATTTCCACCCCTAGTTTTTAATGCATAAATGGTTGTATTGACTAGCGATAACTTGCGGTTTGTACGTTTCTATCTGTGTATAGGTGTGTGTTATAATTTTATTTAAAAGAAATAAAGTTGCATAAAGTTTGAATAATATTTAAAGCGTATTTTATAAAGTTTGTATAAAGGAAGGGTAAATATATTGTTTCTTCAAAATATAACTTTCTCATTTCTAAATTACAACCACCATTACCAAACATCATAATCTTCAAATGCACACATTTAAACATTAATCAATTTATAGAGCAACATTCATTGAATACTGCAAAGTTCAAAACATTTGCCCTCTGTTCATGAAAGAGGGGGAAAAACTTGGGAGAGGAAGGTAAATTTAGAGGGAGTGGATATTTAAGGATAGTGAAATTACGAGGGAAAATAATTTTTAATTTTTTAGGGAAAAGAAACACAATAAGAGTAGATTTTCTCACCGATATCACTCCCTTGTTATTGTAGCAAAACTCATGAGTAAGGAAAAAAGTTCTTCATCCCTCCAATCCCCCCAAAACTTTCTCAATCCTTTATTTTCCCTCATTCGTGAATAGAAGGTTAGCCACTCCTCTCCAACCTTTATGTGCCTAGTAGAAACGAAATGAGCAACAATTACCTCTTAGGATAAAGTTCGGATGCTTCTTTTTCTTCCCTTCAAACACTTTATTAAACGTTTCCAAACCTGAGTTATGGTGGGCTATAATCGGTGCTTCGAATCTATCAATGGTAGCCCCTTATTTTCCTTTTCTCATGCTTTACTTTCTTCCCTACTTTCTTGTGTATTTATTTACCGCTTCATATTTGGAGCTTTCTCTTGCCTCTTTCTCCGAAGGTGAGTATTTCCCTCTTTTTCCTCATGTGTTGATCTTTTAGATGTGCACATTGAGATGCTATGTTGGAGACAAAGGAGGTTGAGATTTTCTCAATCCACCTTTTACTTCATGTCTATGTTCCTGCTCCTTACTCATCATTGCACTAGGTGTTTCGAAGAAGTCTTGGAAATCTTTTTGTGATCTTCCTGTAGTAGCAACTTAATGGAGATTGAAGGCGAAAATCAACTAACATAGGAGTCCTAGTTGATCTTCTTGTACGCTTACACCAGTCTGGTTGTTTGCCTATGCCATTCGAATTTGTTTATGTAAGTTTCAGTTGGCTTTCTTTCCTCTTTGATGGTCTTTGCTGCTGTCAGAAAGCCTCTCTAGTGTTTCCATTGTGGTCCGTCTCTCTACTTCTTATGGATGTTTGGTGTGGGTAACTCTTGGACGACACCCTCTTCTTTTGGGAGATAGGTTTGGATTTGTTAGCGGTTTTCAGGTAATTTGTATTGGGCTTTGTTCTTCTATTATGTAGTATTGGATGTATGACTTTTTCCATGTTTGTTGGATCTCTCGATTGGGTGTAGGTCCAAAATATGCCCACCTTTTGGATCCATTATCAATAACATTCCAATGTCTTTCCCAACAATTACATCTTACTTCTTGTATTTCGTAAGAATAACCATAGTAATAAAATCAACTTACTTGTGAGTTACCTAATAATGTTTCCTCTTTTTTTGTCCAAACATGTTGGGTATTTATCCCATGGTTGTACAGTCATTAATCTTGCACTTCTTATTTTCCTTCTCATTATTCCTCCCTCAATGCGAATGACGTACATTGTCAAGTGGGATGTAAGCGTCAATATTATCTTAGGGGTGTACACCATCTTTTACCAAACAAGGTGGAGGAAATTATCTTGAAGAATATATGCATCAATGCTAACCTAGAGGATTTAACCATTAATGTATCCTTGATGGATCTTCATGCTCTTCTAAATATTTAGTGACAAATATTATCTCGGAGGGTATAAACATCAATATTATCCCAATGCTTCATGCACTATTTCACCGCTTGCCACACCTGTCTTGTCATATGGATTTTCCAAAGTCCCCATCCAAGCCACGGTTGAAATCATGAGTCACAAATTGCAAAATAGACAACCTGCCTTAAAATTAAAATTTCTATAATTTAGCTTCAACTCGTTAACTATTATGCATAAAGCATATCTAGTCAAACCACGCACAAGTGGAAAAATAACATTTTTTTTAGCAATTTTATGGTGAGACTTGGATGAAAATTACATTTCAATCCCCGCCCTCATATCTCAATAAATGGCTAAGTACCTAGGGTTACCCGCCCTCATATCTCAATAAAAAATGGCTACATTCCGCTTTGTCGAGGAACGTTTGATGGAAAGACTTCAAGGGGGGGCCCAAAAGACTTTGTCATTAGCAGCTAAGGAACCTTAATCAAATCAATTGCCTCGGCATTACCATTGCACGTAATGTCCTGTTTTAAACTCCCTCTTTCCCTTTGCCGAATTTTGGACAGACTTGTGGCTCATTTTTGGTGGGGAGTGGAAGATGGGCATTCCCGAATTAGATGGATGTCTTGGAGGAAAATGTGTAGAAGTAAGCATGAGGGAGGAATGGGGTTCCGCTGATTTGAACATTTCAACTAGGCGCTATTGGCTAAGATTGGTTGGTGGATACTTAATGAACCCCAGTCTCTTCTTGCTCAGGTGTATAAGGAGAAATATTTTACTACTGGCAAGTTCCTCACTGCTACTGCGAGTTCTCGTCCATCTTGGGGTTGGCAAAGCATCTTGTACGGATGTGAGCTTTTAGTTCGTGGCCTTCGCTGGCAGGTTGGGAATGGCATGCAGGTGTCAGCCCTCAATGGTAGCAGGGTCCCGACCCTCCATCTTTTAATCCTAGGGTTCTTCCGGAAGAGGGGGACCTCAAGGTGGCAGATTTGATGTGTCAAAGCGAGAGACGTTGGGCGGGTGAGAAACTTTCCCAGTGGTTCCACCCAGACTCTTGTCGAGCTATAGAAGCAATTCCTTTGTCTCGTCGGGAGGTGGAGGACAAGCAAATCTGGCACGTGACTAGGGATGGAGTTTTCACCGTTAAATCGGCTTATCATCTTGCGGTCTTGGTTGATAAGAAACGTGGGAGGTGGAGTCCTACGATCAGTTGGATGGATCGTCAAAGCTGGGTACGTATCTGTGATTCCTCGATTCCACCTAAGCTGAAGATATTTTATGGCAAATCTTACATCGTTTCCTACCAACCACGGAAGCCCTTATTGAGAGGAAGGTCCCATCCTAGGTGTCCGATGTGTTGGTCTACGGTTGAAACTATGGAACATGTCTTTGTAGAGTGTCCGGTGGCTAGAGTAGTGTGGGACCATTCTGAGTTGGAACACCTTGGCCAAGGCCTTCCGCGGCATACTTTCCCCATTTTTCTCAAAAAATTGATGGTCGTCATTCAGGATCCGCATCAAGTTATGGCCTTATTAGCGGTGCTCTGGCGGATTTGGAAGTCTCGCAACTGGGTTGTCTATGAAGGCAAATAGTTCACCATTCTAGTCCTGATGAGGCAGTATCTTCAGCAGTTTCATGAATGGCTTAATCTGCTTACGGATAGGGTGGTGGATTCCGCTGGTATTGTGACTGCCGGTGTATTGCCTGCCAGCCCTGATTCTATCGTATGTAGGTGAGATGGAGCGGTGAGACGAGGGTCTCACTCGGCGGGAGGGATGGTAATCTTGGATCAGGGAGGAGAGATTATTTTAGCAACATGTGTTGCCTTCCCTGGGATAGATGATCCTATGGTCGTGGAGCTGCTGGTTCTCTGGGATGCAATCTTGTGGTGCTTACAACGGGGATTGTCTGTGGTGAGATTCGAAGGAGACGCAAAGGTGGTTATTGATAGACTCAACTAGGCTCAGGAACAGTATAGCCAGGCAGGTGCCATTTTCCATGAGGTCTTGAGATATTTGGCGGAGCATGTGGGGTTTAGTGTTCGATTCTTATGTCGGGAAAATAATAGGGTAGCCCATGCGGTGACTCGAAAGGCCCTCTCTTTGTACCCGATAGCGTGTCGTTCGTTTGATTTTATTGTCTGGTTGCGGCTCAGGATGTAATCATCTTTTTTCTCTATCAATATATGGTTATCTTTTGTAAAAAAAAGACTTGAATGAAAATTTAAAATTTTTTAATGCTTTCATCTTGCTAAAATAGGACCACAAAAACTACCTAGATTCAAATGTATCTCAAACAACCACCGAGAGAGGTCCTCTACTTATAAGCTTGAGAGCTTTGAATTCATATGTGAAAAATATTTATGAAGAATGAATGCTTGGTGTAGTCATGATCTCGAACATTCATGAATAGTAAAAAAAACAAAACTAAAATAAAGATACAACAAAAACTGTATGTATATTCCATTCCCTCGCAAATGTTTAACTTGGGGAAAATTAGGGAGAAGATACAAGTAATTATGCAGCAAAAATGAAGGGAGGAAAGTGTTATTGTATTTTTTTTTTTTTTTTTTTGCATCCCTCCAACTGTTTACTTAACAACAGTATTAGGAAACAAAAACATATAAAAACCAATCGTTTATTTAAACACTAACAAAACCATCTTTTGCGACGAAAATTCGATGCCCACCCACCGCCGCAGGTGGTGCACCCTCACCGTTAATCCGGCGAGCCCCCAAATACATATAAATATGAAGTCCTAGCTTTTGTTATTTTTTAAAACCTCTTTTCTAGTTTTTCCCTCTAAATCTCTTTTTATCCTAAATAAATAAATAAATAGTCAGCACGACGTCGTACTTGTTACGCGGCCAGGGCCCACAAAGCCATCACCGTCATCACCATCCCGGCATTGTTAAGGCTCATCTGAGCGGCACCACCGGTAGGTGCTGCTGCCGGCGCATCGGCAGCGTCGGATGGGCTATCCGCAGACGGAGAATCCGAACCCGCCGCCGGTGCCGGAGGGGACGAGTTTGATTGAGAGTCGTCGGACGACGACGGAGAGGCTCCGCCGGCAGGAGAGTCGGACGACGAGCCGCCTTTACCCGACTTGGAAGGCGCCGGGGAATCGCCGGACGAGTCTGAAGGCGATGCTTCCGACGATTTTGCCCCCTTGGGAGACTTTGCCGGCGACTTTGACGGCGCCGGAGACGGGCTGTCGCTCTTCTTCTTGGACGGAGCTGGAGCAGGAGAGTCCGATGACGACGACGGGGAGGTCGCCGGTGACTTCCCCTTCTTTCCCCCGGAGGTGGAGTTCGACGATTTCGACGGGGACGGAGCCTTCGCCGGTGATTTCTTCGGCGAGGCGCCCTTGGACGGGGATTTGGACGGAGCCTTGGCCGGTGCGTCCGATTCCGCCTTCTCCGACGTTTTGAGTTCCTCCTCCTCCTCGCCGCCGTCGCCGTCTTCTTTCAAATTCTTCGGCATGAACACCTGATTCAAATCCCCCGTCTTGATCCCGCCGTTCACCGCCGGCTTCTTGGGGAACTCCCGCCGCACCATCCACTTGCTCGACACCGCGACCCTCCCTGCGGCGTCGGAGCCGGCTCCCTCGCTGGCGACGCTGACGACAGGCGGAGGCGTGACAATGACGCCGCTGACGTGGAAAATCGACACGTTCCGCGAGGGAACGACGACGGATCGGAGGAGGTTGACCGTGTGCTTGGACCGGGGAAGAATCGCGCTGGCGAAGGAGAGGCGACCGCCCTTCCCTCTCTTGGTAACCAGCAACATTCCATCTTTGCCCCTGGCCAGCCCCGTCAGCACGTAGATGGTGCGGATCAATGCGGTGCCGTTTTGCGCGCTCCGGAGACGGTCCAAGTCATAGTACTCGGGGATGACGTGCATCGTCATCACCCGTTTGATTTCCTCTCGCGATTTGCCAGATATGGCGCCCATGTTGGCATTGTCGACGGCGAGGATGGTCACGTTTTTGAGGTTGGTCATCATCCCCACGACGCCGACCTGAGCCAGGTAGTTGGAGAAGGTGCTGAACTGCTTCAACGGGCCCAACACCTGAGTCACATTGAATGCCGAACAAGATGTGGCGGCCGCGAAGAAGAGGAAGGAAAAGAGAATTAGACGTAGGGAAGTAGCCATTTTTTTCTTCCAAATGCAAGGATGGATTGATGGTGATGGAGAAAGCGATGAATGTTTGGTTATTTATAAGGTAGAGAGATGGAGATTGGGTTTGTGGAGAAGAATGGGAGTAACATTTTGGATGGAGGGAAATGAGTGAGGCAATGTCGGATCGCCATTGCTGTATTTGAGAGTGTTAAATGGGGGGGATAGAGCCACTTGCAGACTCTGGATTGAACTTCGTACTTGGGAGAGGCCATTGTTCCTCTTCCTTTAAGTAGGGTGGAACAAGCAATTGAAACAAAAGCCCAAATAGTGGAAGAGCCCAAAAATGGAAGTGGGCTACCTGGATGTCAAACCCAACCCATTCAGCCTGATTCCCAAATTCTCATCCTACAGTTTTTTACCAGTCCGGCAGTCCCAATCATACTACTATGTATTCTCATTGTAGCGAAGAGAAAGGAATCCCAGACAGAGTCAGATAGATTCATGATGGATCCAGTTGGTTTTATGAATGAATTCTCAAAGAATTGGTCTCTACCTTGTTCGAATCAGAGGACCAGCCATTGAGGGATTTCTTGGTTTCACATTCCTTTAGAGAGGTAATGACAATTTCATCTAGTTCCCTCTATACTTGGGTTTTGTTATATGCATTTTCTTCTTCTGTGTGTTGCCTGCGGTTTATTCTTCTGCTTGAGCTAACTCGAAAATTTGCAAACAAACAGTCGCAGATGTTTTTCCATGCCCACTTCAAGGTGGACCGCCATCTCCAAGCCTCTGTTGTCGTCTATACTTCAGACCACCATTGACTGACATTCTTGCTGTAATTCAACGTGGAAAGACTGAAACGGCTAAGAGCTGCATTGAGTGTCTGACTTGTCTTACCTTAGATTGCTGGTTCTTTTTGTCGCTTCATTTCATCGACAAGAAGTCACCTGTTTTCTTTATCTCCAACCCATTTCCCCAGTATGAGATGTAATTTAATGTCCTGGTTGCTTGCTTCATATCATCATTTTTGTTATTAGATCGAAACCAGTCTGGCAATGGGAAGGAAGGAATACAACGCCTATTCGTGTTAGCACCAATTAGTGTAACAGCAGAGGCCATTAAGTATAATTAAAATTTCATAAATTGTGATGATAATTACAACCTAAATGAAAAGGCAGTAGTACAAAAATAAGGCGCAAACAAGTAACTAAACCCATCTCTCATTTCTGTCAAATTTATATTTACACCTTCCAAAAGGAGAAACAAAAAAGAAAGATTGGGCTCTTTGAACCCGATAAATACCAATCGTCTTCCAACTATTGTCTTCATAACATCTACCCAAAGAAATAAAATTCGGGTATGCACAACAAAATGTCAAAATCCCTTCTACTTCATACTCACAACTCTACTCAATATATTAGGCTTTCTTGCTGCCGCGGCGGCCAGAGCTGCGTTAGAGCTAGCGTTATCCGTTCCCTGATGACTAATACTAACTTCTTCTTTGATTCCATTGACAAGATGCCGTAGTTGTGGCACTTGTTCTACTTCCACTTTGCAGCTACTTAAGATCTGCAGAAAAAAAGTCAGAGTAAGCTTTTAAGATGGTCCATGACTGCGCCAAGTAAACCCAAAGGGGTGGATTGAGCTCTAAGATAATATCAAACCCAGTAAAGAATAATTACCTGGGCATTTTCTGTTTTGTACTTCTGGAGTTCTTCCTGGGCACATGTCAGCCTGCATTTCCAACAACACACAAAAAATGGTAAGTCCTGCAGCGAGTTTGATGGTTTCTTTTTCAGAGTTAATGAATGCAGTGAGTAAGGCAAAGACTCGAACTTGTTGATCAGTACCTCCATCTTAGGTCTGTTACTTCAAGAACCAATTCTTTCTCCCTTTCATGCATTGTTTCCATCTGGAAGTGGATTGCCAAAAGAACAAAAACAAATAGAGAAAGGTTAGTTCTTGAACTGCAGGAATTATATATATGTATAAGAATGACAATCACTAAGGCATATGGCATTGCATTACCAAAGATTTCTCCATGGAAGCAAGTTGTAGTGCCGATCCTCCCTCAGGGCCACGAAGGGCTAACGACCAATCGAAACGAGCAAGGTAAGTTCACCTGACTTTAATTCAAAAGTTCTGTTTTGAAACTGGCTATGGGACACAAAGAAGAAGGATGCTCGAACCTGTAGTTTCACAGTTGGACAACTGCTTCATTATACCAAGGATGGTGTCCTGTTGCAGGGGGGAAACAGGTCATGAAGAAGAACTAGGTTTGCAAATGGAAAGAGCTGGAAACAACACTTGATATGATATGATATGATACGTACTCTTTGAGCGATGTTCGCCTGTAAAACGGACTGTAAGAGTGGAAATACAGAGTAAACCGACAGACTTGAGGATGTGCCTTCTGGCGTTGGCGATAGAGGAACCCCAGGAACTGGAGTGATCACCTACGTAAATAAATAACACTTTGGGCTAAGGCAAAAATATAGCTAGGAAATTCAAACCTCTGAACAATTCTCCTCAAGAACAGAATGTAAACTCTAGCAGTCATATCTTTTCCTAAAGTTCTCACATCCATCCTTCCTCTCATAACTAGTTTGAACTATTCATCATTAATCTATCCCCCTCTGGAATCCCCTTTCGCTAGAAGAAAAGGGACCAAAGTAGATTTTGGCTCACTCAAGACTTTGAACTGGTTATAGTCAATCCTTTAAACACTCCATCTAGTGAGTTAATGGGAAAGATGAGACATGTTGTATGTCTTATATAGTCTAAAATTCACAAAGTGGTGGCCTCCTGGGTGTATTCGCAAGGTTATGGGGAAGATAGGTAGGTATGCACAGCCTTGCGCTTGTTTTCACAGAAAGGCTAGTTTCACCAGCTGAACCCCTTATCTGTAGGTCACAGTGGAGCAACCTTAGAATCACAAAAAGGCTCTTCCAGAAAAATCCGAAATTTTAAATCAAAGAAAGAAATTGAAAGTGAAAGTGAAAGACATGTGACACTAGAGTAGCTAAGGAATGGGAAGGGAAGGAGGAGCGTGGAAGACAACTGCATAAACCCTTGTTTTAACTCTACCAATCTCACAAGCTGAGAAGTTATTGCATTCCAGATAAAGAAAATACAAGCTGAAATGAAGTTATTCATGCAGATACTTTATCTGTAAAATGACGAACCTGCATGCTGTGGCTTTTCTGCAGCAACGGGGATGGTGCTGCCTGTAATGAAGAAGAGTTACACACCATTCGGATTGAAGTGACAGGATAAAACAAAAACCTAAGTACCCACCTTTTCTATATCTACATTCTCTGACGTAACTTTGAAACGTCCTTTTTGTTGAACAACTGGTGGCTTCGTTTTCTCGTCTGATTCTTCACTAGTGCCTGCATCGTGAAGTGGAAAGAGTAGTCAAGACAAAATTTTCACTTCCCTAGAGAGGAGATTACATGGAGATGATGAGTCAGTGCATATAATATAGCAAAATCTAGCAACCAAAAGAACTTGAAAACCTACCTGGTAATTTGACTTCACCATCGAACGCCACTGTTGAGCCATTGCATGATGGAATTCTTGGGAGTTGGCCGACCAATTTATCACTTTTGGACACAAAAGTTAAAGTAAAAAAGAGAGGGTATCAGCAGAGACTTCACTCGCTGCTAGCAACCTACGTGCATATAAAGCTTCGAATTCGAATTTCCAACAACTTTTGAGTTAAAGATTTTCCAACCTGTCCCCTTTGCTTTGCGGAACAACAGGATCACAGAAATTGAAGCTAAGGCTACCGGGACCTATCAATTTGTTTTGGGAATAAATATGCATGCTCTCGGGAATTTTTGTATTTATCTCAAAAGTGGGCCTTTCCGTAGCATTGTTGTCAACAAAACGAGGAGAACAGAGCTGCGAAACTGAACCAGATGGACTTGGAAGGCTGTACTCATCATCAGATTTCTCACCACTGATTCTGGAAATCAATCATAACTTGCATCAGAAACACTTCACACCAATAGAGTAAACTCTAAGGACGACTGATGTATAAGGAATGTTGGTGAACTAATTGAACATAGGTTGGTGATAATACTTTGTAATGTTAACAGATGAGTTTACTGTTTGAAGAGGAACAGGGCGAAGTCGTACCAAGTCAATTTCATCCTGTCCAATCAGGAGAATTAGAAACAATGTCATCAAATTGATATATCCTACATTATAAGACAATTGAAACATAATACCGTAACTAGTACCGATTCTACAATCTGTCTGACAGACGTGGCCTGCGATTCATATTGTTTATCATGCCCATCAAGTGCTGACAAAGAACTTGAGCTTCCACTTCGACAATTATCAGCAACTATGTCGTCGTCTGGGATCTGACAGTAGAAAGTATTATATCATAAGGAAATTGGGGAAAACCTAGATGAAAATTGGGGACTTAACTGAGTAGACAAGTCACCATACCAAAGAAGCCTGAGCTTTCACGTCTTCAAGGTTGAAATTCCAACCACTAATTCCTCGTTTGTATTCATTCTGTAAGCACTCAAAATAACATGCAAAAAGAAGTTGCATTAACAAACAAAAGATTTCCATTAAGAAACCATCTGACATCAAAAGAAAAAACATTAGAAGAAAATACCACAACCATTTTCCAAATTGGAAAAAGAAATCTTAACCTGCGATATTTCCTCCATCTCCCCATCAGGCATTTTCTTTTGTGCGAGCATATCCTCTTCCTTCCTCTATATCTCCAAGGATGAAATGTTTGTCAATGAGATCGAACATAATTTATTTAATTACCAAAATAATTATGATCACATACTGGTCACTAACCTTCAATGCCATAATACGATCACCAAGAACAGGCAATCCCTCAAGAAGTGTCCGTGATAGATAGTCACTGGACCTGGCTTGCTTGAAAAATGAATGCTTTAATAATTTCTTTGCCGAAGGCCGTTTCGAGGGATCTTTCACCAAGCAACTGGCGATCATCTGCTTGAAGGACTGAAAAGAAAACAAAGGGAAAATGCAGGCGCATGATGGATGGAACATAGGTAAAGGTGAAATTATTCCTTAAGTAACTTGGTACAATGAACATACTTTAGAAAACTTCTTATCTCTTTCATAGTCGAGACCTGGGGGAGCATTTTGGAGAGTCATGAGCAACACCTTACCATAAGAAAGAGTTGCATTTTAGACCAGACAAGCTCTTAATCCTTTCAAACAACAGAGCAATAGAAGCACACAGTCAAGAATTAACCTTCATTGGAGGATATTTGGAGAAAGGAGCATGCCCATGGGCAAGCTCTAAACCAGTTATCCCAAAAGACCAAATATCAGCCCTGTGGGAAATTGTCATATAAATCTTCATCTCTGTACAAGGTTATTAATGGAGACACTTTAAATTGAAAGATGAATATAATACTAACTTGAAGTCATATCCATGTAGTTGTTCCATAACTTCAGGTGCCATCCTGAAAGATGACAATATGGCATCGATTAAATTTTGGAATTCAGAAGAACAAATTTTGACCCTACAACATTTGACTATTGGCAATGACTTGGTCTTCCGGTGTAACTTTGAAATATCAAATTCCATAGAAAAGATGCTCCTCTGCAGAAAAAAACAAGTTAAAGTTCTTGAAACATACCAGCACGGAGTCCCAACAAATGTATTTCTCATACGTTTCCTATCACCCGAGTCGAAAAGGGAAGCAGAAACACCAAAATCTCCCAGCTTTACTGCACCTCGTCCATCAATGAGAACGTTGCCAGCCTAACAGAAGAATATGGATTGTCATCATCAGATAACCAACTTCATCAAACAACCTGGCGTCCATATTAAAGTTCTTGGCTTAACACGCCAATGCAAACTAGACAGAAATAGTTAGAGATCAAAATGAAAATCTCAAGGAAAGGTAGAAATGGCTCCTCTCCTCTCCTCTCCAGGCCATGCTATTGTTTAAAAACTCGACCTACAGATCAGTGCATCGGGATGCACCTAAAAGAGTCATTTCAAACTCCATTACGTGGTCAGAAGGACACCAACAAGGACCAGAATTAAAAGCAGTAAAGAGGAAAGGTGCAACTAACTAACTTTAACATCTCGATGAATGTGGCCATGATGATGAAGATACTCCAGACCCTTCAAGACCTCCCGGAGTATGGTGGCTATGACTACTTCCTCAAACCCATCGGGAAAAGCTGCCTTCAATATGTGGAGACAAGAACCTCCTGCCATGTACGGCATCACCACCCATAGATTGTGGTCGCTAACAAAGGAGCAGTGCGATTTCAGGACATTATTATGGTCCACGAGGATCATTGTTTGTACCTCCCTAGAAATATTCACCTGCAATAAGATTACAGGAAAAGGAACAAATTAGCAACAACAACAACAACAAAAAACAGTATAACATCACTATCACATTGGAGTGAAAGTTGCTTCTCTTTTCTTTCCAACAAAATTCCATCCATTGGACTCATGTAGGTCCCGCAACCTGCATTTCTTTGATTCTTTTCCAATCCTTCACTTTTATGAGGCAAGCTAAAATGCGAAACATATAACTCAAAGCGAATCCCAGGGCAGATTAAAATGGAAAGGAAAGCAGCTCAAAATCAATTGAAGGAAGCTGCACGCACGAAATCATCATAACACAAACAGAGAAGGGGACAAGAACTGGACCCACCAAATCGACGTTGTCCCGCTCGAAATCGAGGATCTTGATGGCGACGATCTCGCCGAAGGGGATGCACTTAGCCCTGCGAACGGTGGCGCTCACACCCTGGCCGATCTCCTCGTACAACTCATAATGCTCACGGCCAATAGGGTACTTTTTCTTCTCCATTCTCGACAGACAGACAGACAAAGGCTATCAATCAAACAAAATGGGGGCGAGAGATAGGTCGTGAAGCGATTAATTTTTCACCCAAGTCGAAAACTTTTGGAGGATTGACGCTGGAATTGGGGGAACAGAGCAAGTGGGTTCAGCTAATTTGGGGTTGATTCACATGAAAGAAAGAGGGGAAAAAGGGCAGAAAAACGAAATTGAGGAGAAGAGGGCAGAAATGGAGGGATTCGTTGTTGGCTTTGGCTCTCTCTGGTTTCTCGCGAGATTGACCGCAGACGGAGGCGCCACTGACAGGCAGGCAGACAGACACACGGCTACGCTATGCGAATGGATCGCCGATGGATTTCTCTCTCTCTCTCTTCTTTTTTCCTATTTGAGATTTGTGGAGAAATAATTTTTGTAGTTATGGGGTATTTATAGTTTGTTGTTGAAAAAGATGCCCCCGCCAAGTCCAACTCACCATTCTCTCTTCCTCCCTATTTTATTTTGTATACTTTTGCAGTTTTGCTGCTCCTCTTTTTTATCGTTTTCTTTGTAACACTTTTTACAATGAGATCATTAAATTGTTAGTCTATATGAGATGGAGCTTCATCAACTAAAAAATGGGATAATTTAATCAATTATCTTATTTTATAAAACGAGTTAATTTAAATAGTTTGTCCCTATTCTAGACATTTGTAATTGTCTTAAAACAAGTCAATTTGAAATTTTTCTGACAAAATTGCTTCGTCAAAATTTTATACTCTCAAACGGATCAATTTGGACAAATTGTTTCAAAATGAAGCAATTGTACCAAATTAACCCGTACTAATTCATCATCCAAATAGGGATGACAATTGGTCGAGTTTTGCCAAACCCAAACTCATGGGTTTATCCGTAAAAAAAATTTACGCTGGGTATCGGCGGGTTCATGAGTACCCATGGGTTGAAAATTCAAACAAATCACAATTTATACATACAAATTCAACGCCAATCTAGAAAATTCAAGTATGGTGTGTTCAACTTCTAGAAAATTCAACACACAATTCTTTGTTTTTCGTTCATTTCCATTTTGTTTGTGAGAGAGCACCAACCAACAAATATGGTGTGTTCAACTTCAAGTATTAAATTATCACTCCTTTTGGGAAACTAGAATTAGGGTAGGGTTTGGGGAAAGTAGGGCGACGGAGTAAGTGCGGCGGGTACCCATGCGTCGGATATCTCTAAACCCAAACCTAACCAAACTCGATGAACAATGTAACGAGTTTAAACTCGAACAAGGCCCAAAGCCTATCAACACAAATTTTACCTACGTTGATCAGGTTTTGAGTCGAATAGGATACCCATGAGTTCGAGTTTTGTTGACATTCCTACATCCAAACGATGCCTGGATTATATGCCTATGCATTGGCGGTACAATCTTGATATGATTACTGGGCAAACAAAATTTTTATAGAATGATTGAAAAGCTGCTCCACAAATTTAGACAAAATATGATATAATATGATGTTGCCAATTACGAGTAAACAAGAAAGAGAAGCTTAGTGAAACTTTGATAATTCCGAAACTTAGCGAGAATAATACTAACGTCAAAGTCGTAAGTTTTTTTGGATTAAACCAAAGTCGTAAGTTGTTTCAATGTTACATCTATTTTTCACATTTAAAACCTGAATTATTAATGTACATTACTTGTTCGAGCCTTTTATCAGAAAATGACTTGATACTCTAATTTGTTCCAATTTTTGCACCTTTTTTTAGCCATGAGATACATACACAATGTCTTCTATTTAATTTGTGCTTACTTGTACTCATTGTTTCTCGGACATTCATAGCAACTGAAGACCATAAAAAAAATGAGTGCTCAATTTGTGTGTCGATATAACCATTTGGAAGCGTTGAAGATTTTGGTGGAGGTTTTAACAGATGATAATGTGGTGGTGATTTGATATATTTTTTTATTATCTTCATCTATTGAACTTGGATTAATAGTAAAAATCACTCCTTATTATTGTATTTTCTCAAGTTCGTCTTTCTATTATTTTAATGTCGAACTTGTCACTTGCTATATTCACCTTTCTAAACTTGTCCTTCAAAATTTTGTTATGATTTCATTAAAATTGTGTCAACCCGAGTTGATCCAGATTCGTGTAGATGTTAAATGTCATTTTCGCACTTAATAATTACAAATAATCTTCCCCATCTTGTATCAAGGCTACAATTCCCAAACAGAATGTTTCGATAATCAAGCCATCGTAACTATTGGGCCTCGATCTAAACTTGTGCATCTTTATTGTTTTAGTATTAGTAGTAGTTTATTATTATTTAGTATTTATAATTGTGTCCCTTGTTTAAGTAGGATTTGGTTATTCTTAGTGGTTTCCTTGTAGGAATAGGAGTAATGTTCTAAATAGAGAAGGTAGAGGCTTCTATGTCTATAAATATGTACTTTGTCTTTCGTTTAATGGTATGAAGAAGATTGGAAGTCAAATCTAGTTTATTGTCTTTCGTTTATCACAATTTATCGCGTTTTATCGTAGTTTGTTAGTTTTCTTGCAAGGAAGTTACGAGACAAGAATTCTTCAATTCTGTGTCTCGTAACGCAGAGAGATAGCGAATGGGAAGCACAAAGCAAGTAGCATGCACATTGGCTTGTACCATTAGTTGTCGTAATCGTCTTCCAGATAATGATCGAGTTCTCGAAGATAGTCGATGTAGCCTAAATTGGTGGCTCGGGTGCAGAGAGACTCCGACTATAAGATTCTTCTCCTTTTCCAGACAGACGCTATCGTGGAAGTGCATGACGACGAGCGAGTTCAGAGTCGGTGTGTGGTGTTTGATAGTTGTTCTAACCTCTTTGTTAATCCATGCATTAACATCTCCCAACAACACGAGTTATTAGGACCAGTTGGTTTATGACATGGTATCAGAACGATTCATTATTGAGGTAAGGTGTTCAAGTCCTCACTAACCCTCAATATTAAATTTTATCTTATAAGCACATAGTATGGAGGACCTATGCAAAATTTAAGCCATGAATTGGCTTTTGTTTGAGGGTGCATGTGAGAAAGTGGTTAATATTCATTTATGGCCTCTCCCAATAACTCGAGTTATTGAGACCAACTTGTTTTTGAAACCATCCACCGCTTAATCAATTTTGCGAATAATAAACTAAATCTGAAAAGGGAGAAAGGGGGAAAAAAAAGAAGGATGGATTCCTATTTAACGCCCTAACTTTTTAAAATTTACGTGCTAAATTAACGAAATAGACAATTCTACCCTTAATCCTATAACGGTCACCCCCAATTCCCAAAATCCACTGCCAGTCCGTCGCCCTAAATCCTGTCGGTCGCCAGCGATAAATCCCTAACCCATAATGGCCAATCCCGTTGGTCGCCAGCGATAGTCCCTCTCAGGGGGCGTTCTCTTCTCCATCTATCCCGTCGCTGGCGAAACTATCTCTGCTGCTCTGCCCTGTCGTTGTTGAGGAAGGAGAGAGAAGGCTTGAGCGGCTGGTTGTTGCTGCTCCGCCCGTCGCCGGTGAGGAAGGAGAGGGAAGGCCGAAGCAGCTGACTGCTGTTGGTCCTCCCATCAGTACTCGATCGCGATTCTGACCCAAAATCAGCGATTATGGCCCTGGGTCTCTCCTATTCTAGCGTCGCACTGATAACAACAGTAGGTCATCATCAGAGGGGAAAGAAAATCGTCATCGGGTACAGTTTTGCAGGTCGAGGTTGGAAAGGAAAACGGCTATTTCGGCCCCCGGTATCAGTGCGACACCTAAATCAATACCCGACCACAAAGTTAAATCGAGAATGGGGCGATGGTGGCGTCGACGAGGCCCCAGCCGCCGCAAGGAATCCCTAGGTCGGTGGTGACTGTGAGGAGTAGGATTCGTGATTCTCATTAGATGTGGTGATGGGATTTAAATACCCAATTTACAACAGAAAGTCCTCTCCCATGAATGCACGTAGCCTACAATGTAGGAATGAACGAACCACTAAGTATGGTAATTAAATACAAAATTATTTAAGCGAGCCGTGGGGGCATGCATAAATTGGGACAATTTGTTGACGGCGTAGGCAATGTCCGGACGAGTACATAGCAGATATTGGAGCGACCCAAGAGCCTGTTTGTACAGTGTAGCGTCGGCAGGAGGAGAACCATCAACAAGAGCAAGCTTGGCCGTGGAGGATAGAGGAGTAGGAGCTGATTGTGCATCGGTCATACCAAAACGATGGAGCAAATCTCGTATATACTTCCGTTGGGAGAGTAAATATCCAGATGTAGTGGGCAACACCTCTATTCCCAAAAAGTAATGCACAGCACCGAGGCTTTTGAGAGAGAACTTGGATGCAAGCCTTGCTTGGAACTGAGAAAGGGCAGTACTATCATTGCCCGTTAATAGGAGATCGTCGACGTAAACAAGAAAGTAGAGTGTAGTGGCCCCATGATGATATATGAACAAGGATGCATCGGACTTGGATTTGATGAAGCCTTCTTGGGAGAGAAAGGCAGATAACGCCATGTACCAGGAACGGGGGGCCTGGCGGAGGCCATATATAGCGCGAGATAGACGACAAACATGATCAGGATGAGCAGGATCGGTGAAGCCGGGTGGCTGAGACATGTAAACTGTTTCCTGAAGTGAGCCCTGTAGAAAAGCATTGTTGACGTCAAATTGCATAATAGGCCACTGATGTGATAGCGCAATGGTGAACACGGTGCGAATGGTGACCCGGTTTCAACACTGGACTATAGGTCTCGTGAAAGTCAACCCCCGGGCGTTGAGTAAAGCCTTTGGCCACAAGGCGGGCCTTGAAGCGATCCACAGAACCATCCGGGTTGCGTTTGATCCGAAAAACCCACCGAGAACCCACTATATTCGTGCCCATCGGACGAGGTACCAAAGTCCACGTATTGTTGGATAAAAGAGCACGAAATTCCTCCGTCATGGCAGCACACCATCGGGGATCAGCAAGAGCATGCTTGAGAGCTGTCGGCTCAATATCAATAGTATCAACCTGCGAAAGAAACAACTGTTTGGGCCGAAAAATTCCGTGCTGGCTACGGGTAACTGGACGGTGAGTGGACTTGGCGGGTGGTGGCGGTGGGTGCTGGCCATGTTGGGAGGAGGTAGCCTGGGGAGACGCAGCCTGAGGTGGAATGGGAAGATGTCCATGAGTGGTGGTCGACAATGACTCAGCAGCAGGTGGCACATTTGTGGATGGTACGGGCAAGGAAATAATGGTGACAGGAGGACTAGTAAGGGCAAGCCAAAGAGGAGGGTCATATGGCGGATCAGAAGGGGAGGGAATGCTTGGAAAAAGTGATTCCTCAAACATAACATGGCGAGACGTGAACATACGTTGGGTAACACTATCATAACAATAATAGGCACTTTGAG